CCCCTGTATACACACACACACCCCTTTAAAAAAAAAAAAAAAAAAAAAAGCGCATACGCCATATGTGCCACATCACAAATTTGCGCATGGCGTAGCTAGGCCCTGTATACACACACATGCAATGACTTGCTGATTTCGACTGCCGAGACTGACTGCGAGGTTCTACAGTGTACCGCTGTGTGTGTTAGCTTTGTTTTTTGGTTTGCACTGAGGGCCGCCCGCTGTTCTAAAAATAGCTGGGACTAACAGCAGTAGGGGCTGAGTGGTTACCGGCCCTAAGTGGCCCTGAGCCTTAAGTGCGGGCAGCAGGACCGGTTTCGTAGAGGCCGAGTAGGCCCTAACTGAAACGGTACCGGTAGGCCCTAGGCTAGAGTAGTGTAGGATCTACAAGTGGGTTAGCGTAGGACTGCTAGGGACTTTTTGGCTTTTTCATTTTCGCGTTGCAGCGTTCTGGAGCCAAGGGAGTTGGTGGTGACGACTGTCTGAAGCGGCATCTGCAGACCTTTGTCGTGGACAGCAGCCATAGCCAGCCTCAGAGCTTGCCATAGCTGAGGCACTCTCTGCGCATCTACCCCTGAGGGTATCTGCGATCGGCTGGGTGTGGGTGGCGGCAGCCATAGCTGCCTTCTTCTTCGTCAGAGTTACTCATTGGCACTGAAGACTTCATCGCAATCTGGTTTCTTCATCTGGATGGTTGGCGCTGGCCTCTGGGAGGGAGTTTCAGTGTGGCGCTACTAACTGGGTGTAGGATAGTGGGTGGTGTGTGGAGATCTGACTGTGGCAAGACATTGAGATAAACTCTGTAACAATTATTGGTTTGAACTGGCTCATCATCAGTGTGATTCCAATTGTTATCCTCGCCGGTTCTTTCTTGTGATTGGTTGTTGGGAGTTCGTCAGAGAGTGAGAAACACTGTGTGTCTTCTCCCCATCTGTGCATGGTCGAATTCCGCTGCTTATCTCTGTCTGTGTGTAGTTTGGACTCTGTCTCCTCTCCCCCTTGTCTGGTACATGTATGGGCGTGTGTCAGATCCCATGTGTGTGTGAGTGGCGAGAAATTTGTCAGACAACCAAGTTCATAACACACACCCCTTACACCATAGCTACGACGAGAAGGAGGGGAAGGAGTAGGAGGAGAACTAGAGGAGGACGAGATAGGAGGCAGAGTTCATGACGAGTAGGAGTACAGCCGTGTTTGTTTGTTTGTTTTTTTCCCGGACAATATAGGGGATCCGGACCGGAATCTGGACAGGGGATTCGGATCGGTCCGGATATTCCGGAATATTCCGGTTTCCCGGAAGTCCGGAAGGGCCCGGGAGGTCCGGTATCCGGTCCGGCGTAGCTATGGTTAGGAATAAGATGCCTTTAGCTCTCGCATTTTTTTCTTTTTGTTTTCTTATGAATACGTACAGTGGACCAAGGGGCCTCTCGCCACTACTCACCGCATGCACAAAAGACATACCATATGGGCGTGAATGGTTCCATGTTTTAGGAGAAGATTCATTCAAATGTTATACATTTGGTGAGTGGTGGAGCTAGGCCCTGATGATCACGTGGAGACACGAACAGGGTCTAGCTGAATTGGTGACCCATAACTCCCGAGCTACAGACCTGAACTCACACCTACAGCATATATTGGTGGTCTGCTCCCACCTCTCCCATATATGATGCACCCATCCTGCTTGCTGAAGCGACGGTCCTCAATGCCTTCACAATGTCCAATTGCATTGTCAGAGCCATTTTAGTTACCTGCAGGGGGCCCTGAATTGACGTAAAGGGGGCCCTTTGGTCTCTCTCTCTCTCTCTCTCTCTCTCTCTCTCTCTCTCTCTCTCTCTCTCTC